CACAGCCGTCACATAGTTCCCAACGATCCTACATACCCCCCTACCCCTAAAACCCTAAACCCTAAACCCTGAACCCTGAGCCCTGAACCCTAAACTCTAAACCCTAAACCCTAAGCCCCGACCAGCTACCTTGAACGACTCCCAAATGAGACAGGCTGCCGGAGGCCTTGACCTCTGCCAGGAAGGGTTCGATGGTGGCCTTGGCTGTTTAATGGCAGGACAGGGCGGGCTAATATAGGGTTATATAGGGATAGTATAGGTAATATGGGGCAATATAGGGATAATGGAAAATAAAATGGAAACTACTATAGTATATTGGGGCAGGGTGAAGCATGTCCTGGGTCCTCTCTGTAGGCGATGTATCAGTATGTTATAGGTACGATTTGATGGAGAATTCAGACGGAGACTTTTACGGAGCCCCCAAGTGAGTTACAAGTCTGTAATGTCAGTGCATCTTAAAGCATGTTGAGTAGTCACCTGACCTCAACCAGCAAACCATCCCGACCTCAAAGCCCTAGCCCAAACCCCAATATACTATAGTAGTTTCCATTTTCTTTTCCATTGCCCCAACATAACCCCAATATAACCTTAATATTGTCCCAATGAGTAAAAATGGATGCAAGGTGCGGGGTCCACCTCGGCTGGCGCTACACCATGGAGCCCGAGAACGCACGCCTCTCCATGATAACAGCAGCAAGGAGTAATGGCAGCGCTTGCCAAGTTTGGAGTTAAGACCGGTTGTGTATCGGAAACCTGTCAGCGTCCGCATAATCCCCCTGGCCCACATGCAACATCTGTTCAGGTGGCACCTTGTTTGTGCCATGGCCGATGCCAGTCAGCGCCAGGGAGCCGCGCAACTCCACCTGGGCTAAGGGAAAGGAATTTGAGTCGGAGATTCCTTGATCTAGTAAGTGGTTGTCCTGAGTATATGTGCTACAATGCTGATGATGATGATGNNGTCGTCAAGTAGGTAATCCTAAACCCTAACCCTAAGTAGTAGTTTCCATTTTCTTTTCCATTATCCCTGTATAACCCCAATATACTATAGTAGTTTCCATTTTCTTTTCCATTATCCTTGAAATGCCCTATATTACCTATAGTATCCCTGTATAACCCTATATTACCCTATAATCCCTATATAACCCTACATTACCAAATATTATCCGTCATGTTGGCAGCATCCTTCGAATCCAATGCACGATGAGACGCTGCTCAGACTGCCATAGCACAAGCAGCAGAACAGGTTATAAAAGAGTTGCATTGGGATAATGGAAATAAAATGGAAACTACTATAATGGGTTATATATGGGGATTGCAGGGTATATATTGGGGGTACATTATAGGGCTTAGGGTTTAGGGTTATGTTGGGATAATGGACAAGACAATGGAATAAGTATAGTATATGGGTTATATTGGGGATATATTCACTGTTCTATTTGTAGCGCTTCCATCCTGCACAATTCTTGCGGATTACTTTTGCCCCCAGGTGCAGGTGAATTTGTGGTATGCATTATTCATTGGCTTGTAATCCTGAACTGTAGTTCTGGATGCCGTGGGGTCCAGGCCCAGGCCGCATGGCTCCACAACAAGGTGCGCAGCTGCGCGTCACTTTACATCTTCTTGATTCTGACTATTGGGTCAGCATTGAACCTCTAACCATGTATAGGATTATATTAGGAATTATACAGGGGTTATAGAAGGGATATATTGGGGATATATTGAGGATATCTTGGGATAATGGAAAAGAAAATGGAAACTACTATGCTATCAATGCCCCGCCCAAGAATTAAAACCAGAAACCTGGTGACCCACAACCCCAAGCGGCACTGGGACCTGAACATCATGGCGGGATTCTCAGCACATGGCTCAGCACCTGTGGGGATACTATATAGGGATTATGGAAAATAAAATGGAAACTACAATAATAATGGGTTAATGGGTTATATAGGGACTATAGGGTACATATTGGGGATTGTTATATAGGGTAATATAAGGTAATATAGGTTATACAGGGATAATATAGGCAATATAGGGATATTGGAAAAGAAAATGGAAACTACTATAGTATGTAGTTGCCGCGCCCACTGTACGCTGCTCCAATTCGTTCCCACGGCTCCCACTTAGAACACCGTTCCTTTTACTCTTCCAATAGCTCCCATAACTCCTGCTACATGTCACCATGTTTCTTGGAAACAACCTTAGACTCATTCTGCGTGCAGGCCGCAGTTAGCGAGGCGACCTCAGGAAGCAGGCCCTGCTTCACCAAACCTGAGTGCACTGGGACCTGACGTGGGTCCATGTGGGAGTTTCTCCATATAGAGCTTCAGGAAGCGTATGAAATAAAAACGGACCTCCCATCTATGGACTCTAACATGTAGATGAGGAGCCAGTCGGCAACCCAGCCCTTGCAACAATGCCGAGAGCCACTATGCCGCAAATCAACATGACTTAATCTTCACAATCTTGTTCCAAGTGGCGCTTGGCGAAATTGCGGCATGCTAGCCTCGGCAAAGGTTGCCAGCCCAACTGTAACTGAGTCAGCCAACTCCTTATCCTCGTACGACTTCTTCTATTTACGCAGTTCAGGCAGGAACCTTCCCACCCTCCCGTCAGCAGCTGCACCTTGCCCCGTCCCACGCCCACTCTCCAGACCCTTCAGTCAAATGTGTGCACAAATAATTGGCGCTGCGGCACTGCACACCCAAAGGCCACAAAAACAAGAGCCTGCTTCCTGCAAATTGTGCACAGCCAACGTCTTTTTTTTTTGCGCCCTTGGTTGCGAGCAATATGCATACCTGGACCTGTACTTTGATGGCTACCGGTATTACTGCTTCCATCATGGGATATCACAGGATACTATCGTCATGGACACAACCAGCATCCAGGGTGCATGGGCCCCACGGTGTGGCTGCTCGAAGGTCCAATGCCAATCTTCAGGAGCTCCTTAGGTTTCCACCGCAGAGCACAGGCAGATCCATCGCATTGGGAAACCGAGATATGAAGCAGATCGGTAGTCCATCATGATAATTCTGGTATTGCCACTGCACTAGATCCCAGCAAAAGCACAAGGCCCTCTGAGCAGGTCTGCTTGTGCTGTCAAATTTCCTGCATTGTTGAAGGGCTTTGCAGCTTTTACAGGGTGCGATTTCTTGGGCGACGCACCCACCATGTGGGACCACAACATCTTCAGCAAGAATAGATCAGATCGTTTTCCGCACTATCAAATGGAAACCTCATCTTCTCTTCTGCCAAATGGATTGGCTACCTACCAACGCAAAGAGTTCATAGGGAGATCCATCTAGGAACCGTAGGGATATTGCACTTTCTATAAGTTGGGCTGCCCCAAGATATGGCCCAATATACTGTAATCCTTATTATGGGGACCTCAGAAAGGGACCCTTAATTCGAGGAAAAAAAACCTATCATACGGATGGCAATGTCAAAGTTGCGGATCAATTAGGAAGCAGGGTCACTGCGTCAAGCAGGGAACTCTCACACCAAAGACGTGTATCTCTGCTTCGGCCATATCAGTTGGGTACTTGCAAGACAGATGGTGGTCTCCATGGATAGGGGGACCCCAGTATAGACCCCAAAATTGTATAACCATTCAGACCCCAACAGAGACCCCAAACTATTATAACCCCTAATATTGAGACTCCAAAATTGGTACCCTTAATTCTCGGAAACCCCAGATGGGGTTCTAAGTTCTTCAAGGTGCGAGCGTATAATGGCCAGCATCCACTCAGAAAAATTCAACATCTCAAGCATATATCTCCAATGTTCACAGAGACTTTAGCGCCATAAGATGATGACACGAACTGTTCTCTGTACTGCAGAAGAAGGGCGACTAGAGAAGAAGGGCGACTAGGCTTATGAGGCGGAATAAGCATAGTGATGTGATGCGTGTCGCCACCGAAACAACATTCCTGATACTGAATCCAGCAAGCCCAAGATGCGAAAACAGACGTATGGATCGGGTCGACCAGTGGCTGACTCCTGGAAAGCAGAAGGCTGACCCCCCCCACCCCCTCCCAACCTTCGCTCTCCCCCTCCTCCTCTGGCACCAAAGAACCAAAACAACGATCCTAGAAGCTGGCAACCCCCTCCCGCAGCCGCTCCACCGACGAAAGGTGCGACGACATGCGAAGACATGCTGCGACAGCAGTTAGTGTGATGAGCTCCTCTGGGCGGCCTGGACGAAGGACGGTGTGTCATAGACCGCCTTGGAATGCAGGAACGATGTTTGGAACAACCAAGTCATGGTTTAGGGCAGAGACATGTTCTGAATGGAAACGACATTTGGGCGAGTTCAAATGCGTTTGGCTTCCAACTCTTCAGGCTCGCACAAACAAACTGCATGAATAGTGAGTGTCTGGAATAGCAGGAGGTTTCACAACAAACCTAGTGCACCCAAGTTTACTCCAATCCATCAGTGGTCAATCCACAACTCATTCTGACTGACCCTGTTCTTGTTGAACCCATCTCCTTGAAGCATCCCAGCTGCCACTCCGGCACCAGGCACCGTCGCTACTGGCAGGAGAACTGCATTCACGTGAATGGGACACCGCTAAATCATAATGATGCTCAGACGCAAGACCCGGACAACAAACGTCAGTGAAACCCTCCGAAAGTCTCACAGCGGTTTGGGAACACATGCACTTAGCCAGGATCTGGACCTAGGAATGGGTAAACCTTGAGCTTAAGGCCTGATCCTCATACCTCTTGCCAGAACCAACGAATTCAGGGGTCTAGCAGCAATCATATATAAAGAAGAATGACCGCGATAAAAATCACAAATTGTTTAGCCGCCCAGTTTGCTCGCTCCGTGGCCAAGATGCCTTTTTATTGCTGTTTCCCCGGAACAACCGAGTCCCAGCCAAGCCCCTGCATGGTGATACGAAGCGGGGCCGTGTACAATCACACAAGGCACCCTAAAGACAGACGTGTTGAAAAACCCACAACATCTTGAACCCTATGATCCCTGTACATGTTCTCACCCAGAAACACAGTCATCCCCAGCAAGCATGAGGTTGCCTCTCAAGGCAACAAAGTGTATTACATCTTTGCATGCAAGCAAAAAGCTCTCCCCGCGTGGCTATTCATGTAGGCTTGGCTCTATCCCAGCAGCTCGAATCACTTGAGCAGCAGGGTCAAACGCCAGCCCTTTTTCTTGCAGGCTCGAATAGGAAGAGCCGGCTCTTGATCAAGCAGCAGGCCCAGCTAGAGTTGCCTGCCCCACTGGCAACGTGAATGCATGACGATTGTATGGATCCATTGGCAATTCTGAAGCAGCCATATTCAAAGCCAAAGATGCTGTAACCTGCGAGACCTCCGTACAAACACCGCCAACCCCAAAAAAAGATCTGTAAGCAGCCTACGTCAGCCACCCTTGAACCACTTATAGAGCCCAACTCCAAGCCCCTAAACCCTAGACCCCTAGAGCTCTTTCAATCCCTTCAAGCAATTAACAGGCGCCCTTGGGCCTGAGCAATGGCTGCAGCTGCGGTTTACGGAGACCACAGACTCCTCTGTAGGTTAGGGTCACGGGATTAAAGATCTTAATGAAGAGGGCTTACAGTCTAAGATGTGTAAGGCTTAGGCCATGCGGTAGCTATTCACTCAAAGCAGGCCTACGAGCAAGGCTCACTCTTAGATTCCGGGGTTTACAGAGCCACTCACGCCAAATAATGAGGCTCGTTCTGCAAGGACCCTGCATCCCAAACCTGCCCCAGTGCCCTTACTCCGTCCTTGCTCTGGCAGGACTTGAGTGGCCCCTCCTCGATGTCCATATAGCCAGCCATCCCGCTCGTGATTTTGGGGTTTCCCCCCTTAATGGTGACCAATGCATTCTATGGAACCCGTGGTGTCTTTAGCTGCCGTAAGGCGGGAATCGCAGGTTGGTGATTTGCTGCTGGGGTGTGCCGTTTTGCTGAGAGTTGGTCACAGTGTTTGCGGGCGGGCTTGGAAGTTGACAGTCAGGTCAGGTCTTCTGCTGAACACATGCCACAGCCTTCGGAGGGAAGCATGCATGAAGATTGCTTAGATAGAATAGATGTGTTCATGGGCTGTTGCTGTTTGATGCCAACAGCTGCAGAAATGAAGTCTTGCATTCTAATTAGGTTTCAGGTATAGGCGTAGCGTTCAGTGTTTCCAGCCCATGTCATCTTCAAGAAATGCCAGATGACTGTCAGGGTTGATGAGTAAACACACGAAATACTAAATACTCCTGGTCAGACGGGATGTTGTACCTAGCCGAAAGCTCTGTAGTGTGTAATGAGTGTGACGGACATTCGGAGAATCACTGTTCCCATCAGGCAGCTTCATGGGGGCTTGTGAAGATCACGTCCCAAGGGGTGTATTTCCTACATGAGGATTCCCGCAAAAAGAGAAACTCGTGATTGAGCGTTTCTCACAGTCCGTGGTATACCTGTTTCTACCATCCCAAGAAGGGATCCGAAGCTTGAGGATCGCAAAACTGAACCTGTGACCACAAAAATGAGAAATATCTTTGTGAAAGCACCATGCAATCACAAGAAACCATGAGACAACGGGACTCATCAACCCAATTTCCAGAGCACGGATCAAGGACCAGACGCCGTCCGCGGATGGGTTCCCTCTGTGTCGACGGTGGGGACCTCGATTCGGGGTTCAAGATGTTCCTGGGTTCTCAGTTGTCGGGTTCGGGGCTTAGGCTCCAGGGTGCAGGACAGTGAGCTTACAGCCGAGGATTTTGACATTAGGGTTGGTTGGCACGAGACCCGGACTCCTCTAGAGGGTCCTACGGCAAACCCACTGAAATCCAAAGGAAGCCGCATCAGTTGGAGAATCGTGTCGATGCGCAGTCTGCACTTTACTGCATGCACAGGCTAGATTTGTTTCAAGACATGTTCGACGTCTGCGGGTACAGGCGGTGACGTGACATCGAACTACTGTTGATACTAAAAGTCTTGCATCGAGTGTTGCAGGCAGGCCCGCGTCCCCCAGGCCACTTATCCTAACATTGGTCCCTGAAGCTGAGAATACTGGACGTGCCCGAATGATAGAAATCCTGCATGACCTCAGGGCCTCTAGCCAACATTGAGATTGAGGGGTGTGGGGAAGTCTGTAGTTCTTGCTGTTGTCGCTGGCTTGCTGGGTCATGTAGGATTTTTACCATCCACCGTAGAACCGAAGACCTTGCAGGCAACTGGGATTGATGTCCTTGGTCTGTGCTGTTTCTGCTATCGTCGCTTGTGTGTTCCTAGTTTCGTCGTTGTTGTTGCTGCCAT